CAGCCGCCGCAGCAGCAGCCGCCGCCGCAGCAGCAGCAGCAGCAGAAGCAGCAGTGGCATGAGCAGCCGAAGCAAAAGCAGTCGAAACAGTATCTGCAAGGGCAAATGTGCAATTTGTGTCACTGGCCTCTGCATGGGACAGTCCTGGTAGGAGTCTTTCGCAGGGCCGAAGTTACTGAGAATCTCGTCCCGCTTCACGGTTTCGTCTCGAATGTACCCAGCGCTGAAAAGGGCCTTCGCGTTGTCGTACTTCTTCGAGAAGACGTGCTCCACGCAATTGGATTCCGGGCTTCCGACGCACATGCGAACCCTCTTAAAGGGCTCCGTGTTGAAAGTGCTGTACTTGGCATCTTCCTCTTTGGCCAACGCAGAGCCTCCAGATGGTTGGACCTAACCCCTTTACAGCTCCCAAGCCTGAACCCCAAGCCAAACCCTGAACCTGAACCTCAAGCCCACACTCTAGAACCCCAAAACCCTACATGCCCTCAACGCCCAAATCCTCTAGACCCCTCAACCCTGAAACTGTTGAACCCGACATCCGAAATGCCCTTGACTTCCCTCCGAAGCCGAAAAAACCGACATCCTACGGTTGATGGTATAAACACCGCATTACCCATAAGAAGGAATATATACCATAATTCCCGTATAATTTAGGGTCCTTTAAAATCATGCATCATCAACAGTAGGACCGTGAAGACCAAGCCTGCGTTGAGGAGGTCGCTGTTGGTCCAAAGCGGATTGGAGAAGCCCAACGTCTTAGTCTTGCCCACCTGTGAGGTTTTAGGGCTTAGGGTTTAGGGTTTAGGTTTTAGGGTTGAGGGTTTTAGGGTTTAGGGTTTAGGGCTTTAGGGCTTGAGGGCTTTAGGGTTTTGGGGTTCTAGGGTTCTGTGAAAACGGCTTTGGGCCCTTCGGGGATGGACGGCTTAGGCCTGGTAGGCTTCTGTGTCTGACATGAATAGAGGGGCCGTAAACATTCGAATAGGGCTTTTTGGGGTATATTCATATTATACGAATTTTGACAGGGAACCCCCAAAATAGTATGGGTAATTATTTAAGGCCTATATCAAGGGGGTTCACGGGGTGGGGTTTACGGACTTCGTGCTTAGGGTTTAGTAGGACTCTAACATAGACGAACAGGGACCTCCAATAGTAGCCGTTACAGTAACCCTTATAAACCTAGGACATTTTCAGGTGGGTCGTTACCGTTATGGGAGCCTTATAGAAGGTCTATATACCTTATAGAAGCCTTATAGAAGCCCTATATACCCTAAACTCCCCACCTGTAATTTCCAACATATAGCCCTACTAGAACCTGCTATAGAAGCCTTGAGGACCCCACCCTCGAGCCCGTGACCCCACCTTGAGCACTAGCTTCCAGGTGCCAGCAGACTCCTCACAAGATGGGGGTGTTTCGGAGTTCAGAAGACAGAACTTTTGGGTTGAAGGCCACAAGAAAATTTTATGGGTAAGAAATAAGGGCCTTGATGATTCGAATAGTGGTTTTTGGGGGGTGGTATACCTATGCTATACTTATGGCAAGGAAGCCCCAAAAACAGTATGGATAATTTATTCAGGCCCCTATCGTATACTCTTGGGGAAGAGAGTTCAGGCTTCCGGGGGCCAGGGCTCCGAGTCCTTGGGCTTTTGGACTTCTTTGGGCTCAGGGCTTTTGAAGCCAAACTCTTGCCAAGACATCGGCCCAAAATGGTCCCAACAGGCGGAGACCAGTTTAGGGTTTAGGGTTTAGGGGTTTAAGGTTTAGGGGCTTAAGGTTTAGGGGGTTAAGGTTTAGTGGTTTAAGGTTTAGGGGTTTGGAGTTTAGGGGTTTAAGGTTTNNTTAGGGTTTAGGGTTTGACAATGTGGCCGAACGATGGGTGAGACGCCCTGCAGGTCAAAGATGCATTGCCCCGACTTGCGGCCGCCCCTCTTGCTCTCTACTCTCCCAAAAAACTAGCCTTCTACGAAAGCCTCGGAACACCCAAGAAGCGCATCTGCCTGAGAATCAGCGACACTGTGGTTGCTGTAGAGCTTGAAGCTACTCGCGCCTGGAGTTCTGACGGCTCAAGGATTGGAGTTCGGGGTTTAGGGGAATTTGAGGGCTCGGGGCTTCAGGGCTTCAGGTTTGGAGAGTTCGGATGTGACACAAGCTACAGTTACAGCAGGAGCTCGTGAAGGAACCCAGGTAGGACCAACACTGGACCTACTACAGCTAGCCAGCCTTGCAAGTCCCAATCCTGGAAATCCAGAATCAGACCCCCTTCAAACCCTAAACCCTAAAC